GGGGGCGGGGGGGGGGGAGAGGGAGAAGCAGGCTTCCCGCTAAGCAGGGAGCCCGATGCCAGGCTCGATCCCAGGACGCTGGGATCATGACCTGAGCTGAAGGCAGATACCTAACGAGACTGAGACACTCAGGTACCCCAAAATAAGTACATTTTCAAAAATAGTTAAGACAAACGGGCACCTAGGTGGCTCAGTCGGTTAAGTGTCTGCCTTCGGCTCAAGTCATGATCCCGGAGTCCTGGGATCCAGCCTCGCATCAGGCTCCCTGTTCTGCAGGAAGCCTGCTTCTCCCTCTCCCACTCCCCCTGCTTGTGTTCCCTTTCTCGCTGTCTCTGTCAAATAAATAAAATAAAATCTTAAAAAAAAAAAAAGTTAAGACAAAACTAAATTCTGAATTCATTTTGATGGAAGAGTGTATTAACCGGGAGGCTGTAGGGCAGAAAGACAAAAGAATGCCCTAGAAGAAAGCATGTAGATTACCTCTAAATTAGCACGCCTGCCTTAGGAGGTAATATTCTCAGGAAAAACTTAAAAGGTCACTAATAATCTCCTAGAAGCCTCCTAGAAGCCAAATCCAATAGATTTGTCCATCCAAATCTTCCTTGATCTTTTTGCCAACTTGACACTGACCTCCTCCTCCACCTACCCATAGGGCAACGCTGCAGTCTCTAAGTGTCAGAAGCTCTCGGAGAGCCACTGACTTTCAACAGGATGATGAGATCTCCCATATCTTTATCTCCATCCTAAATATTTGTCTTGAACTCCAGACCTGAATCTCCAACTGCCCACTGGTCCACTTGGGCACCCCACAAGCACTTCCGATTTAACCTATCCAAAACCAAGCTCACCATCTCCCCCCTCCTCCTGTTTTCCACCTTCTTGATGGGTGTCACCAGCCAGTGAGCCACCCAAGTTAGAGACAGGGAAGTAAGTCTAGATGCATTCATTCAATAAACATTTATTAAGTGCTTATAAAAATCCCTGACCCCATGGAGATCATGGATGTTAAGTGAAAGAGACAGACAACAACTAAGAAAATAAGTAAAATGATAGTAGATAGTGAAAAATGCTAAGGAGCACGGGGAAGTGGGGACACAGTGATATGCAGAAGAGCAGGCTTGGGATGAGCCTGGGTGTGCTGACGTGAGGCCAGAGTAGGAAGATGAGGGGAAGATATGGGGGCAGAGTGCCTTTAGGACACTGGCCAAAATTTAGCAGAGGAGTGACATGTCACTCCAACTTACGTTCTAGCAGCTCGCTCTGGCTGCGATCACTGTTGCCCCATCTCTTCCAGATGGCAGCCCCACCCTTACTCTGGTCTGGTCACTCCCAAGTCAGGGCCACTGTAACTAGTGAAGCCATTTCTAGTCCATTTGTATCACTGTTGCTACTGTCCCTGCCCTAAGTCAGGAGCTCTCAGTCCTCACCTGGGCCTAATGGCTTCCGACCGCATCTCATCTTGGTTCAAATCGCCTGCCCACCTGCCACACTACCTATGCTTTCTAAAGTAGCACCTCACTCTTAAGAATCCTCCAATCCCCCCATCCTCCTTCTTGCCTTCCTTCCCTGATCTTCCCTGCCCACTCTCACCCCTCCCAGCTTTAGTCCCCTTTGTGGCAGCACTGCTTCAGGGCCTATGGCCCCCAGAGCGGCCACTACCGATCTCACCCCTCACACATCTGGCCAGTTGTACATTTTCTTCAAGGCTCATACCCAGAATCCCCTTCTCAGGGCACTGAGCACAGTATTCAACCTCATCTGCCATACCCAACAATTTCCTCTGTCTCCCACCAGACTATGAGCTCCTGGAGGCCAGTGACTGTCTTTTATCTCTATTTCCCCAAGTGCTGAGCACAGCACCTGCCATTCAGTTGGTTCTCGATTTAAAGACCTTGCTTTCACCACTTAATATGCTTATCATTTCTACTCTATGTCCTGAAATTTGACACTTAAAACCTGGCTGTACTTCTGTTTAGGATATTACTGATCACTTCTCCGTTATATAAAGTTCTGGTTTCTTATCATATTCCACTTATGTTTCCATGTTACACGAACCCTTCAAATTAATAAGTTTTGACATTTATAGTCCCATATGGAAAGCTACACATTGGCTTATCTATTTTCAACATTATGAAACATGCTTAAGAATGTATAATTTTTTTAAATGTATAAATAACTACAGCTGAGTTTTTATTTATTTTAAAATACTTAAGATACTATGTGCCCCTCCCCAGTGGCATTTTCTCCCTCATCCTTCCTTCCTGGAGGTTCTGTCCTGACTCCCATGCACGTCCTTCCACCTTTACTTGTATTGTCTAGTGTTTCCAGAAGGCACTTCCAAGCAAAGTGAATGAACCAGGTCACAGTGAAGTTACCGCCCTGGGTCCTCCACCCGCCTGGGTAACACCACAGGGCTGCCAGGCTCCACTGCAACATGATGTTGCATTCTCTGATGACCTGGAGAAACTGGCTCTTAGGAGTGCCTGGCTTCGCACTCGCAGTTCCCCCACAATCTGAACTTCTTAATATTTAGTATCATTGTATTCTTACAGATACTTAGGAAACAGAACAATGAATCAAATTTCCCACCTTGACTAAGGTTGCCAATACCTGAAAGAGATAAATCCAGAACCGTAATAAGATCATGAGACTTAAGAACCTCGGTCTAATTTCCTAATGGGTTTTTCACTGAACTATTACCATGTATTCTGAGCTAATGATTCTGGTCAGTAGCTTAGTCATGCTGGACCCAAAACAGCCTTAGAATTTTAAGCAAAGAATCAAAGAACTGCCCTTTTATATGCCAGTTTAGATAATGTACCTCAAATTTTCTGTTCTCACACTTTTTAAAAACATTTTTGCAAGTACTCTTTATCAAACGCTTAATATGTAAATTCTTAATGCGTTGTTTAAATAATAAAACAATAAGCAACAAAAATTCTATCACAAAATTACCTGGATCTACAAACCTTACGTTATTTATGAAACCACCCAATCCACCCGGCATTAATTTTACTTTTTTAATGCTGTAAGGATTTTTTTAAGGAAAGAGGTGCACCGAATCTGACAACCGCGTCGGGGTTGCCTCAAGTTTAGCGGCATGAGCAACGCCAGCCCAGGTGAACACTGTGGACGCACAACGTTCCTCGTCTGGCCCTTCAAAAGCACGGATCGCCGGGGAGGCGACGTAGAACCGGCCTCCAGGCAGGGACCCCACACACTTCCGAGCAGCCCGGCAGCCCGTCGCCCGCGAGCAGGACAGGCGCGCCCGCCCAGGGCGGTGCCGCGGGAGAGGGCGGGGGCCGGAAGGAAGAGGGAGGATTCGGACAAAGCCAACCGGGCCGGCCGCCCCTCCCCGCGCGCCGCGCTCCCGGGGGCGGCCGTATCTCCCCCAGCCCCAGTCGCGAGGCTCCGGTGGTCCGCAGCTGTTCCCGCGAGCCGCCGCCCCCGCCCGCAGCACTGCCGAGCCGGGGGTGCGGGGCCGCAGACGCGCAGAGGGGAACGTAGACGGGGAGCGGCCGGGCCCTGAACTGGAGACCGGGTTGGGGAAGGGGCCGTGGCCAGGGATGAAGTCTCGGAGGGGACGGGACGTGGACGAGGGCCGGAGGCCGCGGCGCCGGGAAGGGCCAGGGAGGACCACCAGAAGTGGACAGGGATGAGGACCCGGGCGGGGTTGGGCCCGGGAAGAGGAGCCGCAGGGGATGCGGACCAGGGCGGGGGCCCGAGGACCGCGGTCCGGGGGGGCGGACGTGGGTGAGGACCGAGGACCGGGGCGCGGCCGGGAAGGGGAACGAGGACTCACCGTGCTGCTCCCGCGGGGCCGCGCGCTCGCGCTGTCAGCACCGGGAGGTCGCGGGGCGCGTGCGCGGAGCAGGACTGCGCGGGGCCCGCCGCTTCGGCTACCTCAGGCGCGGCGCCGCGGTCACGAGCGAGGGGCGCTGGCGCGGCCGCCCCGCAGCATCCCCGGCCGCCCGCGAGCGCTGTCCCCCGCGGCTCCTCCCCGCAGCCGCCGCCCCGCGCCCGCCGGCTCTGCTCTGCTCCGGCTCCGCCGCTCCCGCCGCGGAAAATGGCGTCTCGGCGTCCCTCCCCCGGCTCGGCGCTCCCGCCCCACAATGCCGCGCGCCGCCCGTGACGTCACCTGCCCGCCTCCGGGGGGCGGGGCGCGGCCGGGAAAGAGGTCCCCGGCGCGGCGTGGAGCCCTGCGGACGCGCGGGAAGGGGGCGCTGGGGCGGGGCGCCGCCACCCTCGACCGCCGCGTCCGGGTCCTTCCCCCCTGCTTGCCAGTCTCCGGAGTGATGTTCACTGTGTGCCAAACCCCGTCTTCACGCGTTTTATGTGCGCGTTTCAATCCCCCTGGAACCCGCAAGGAGGGCTTTCAGCAGCCTCTCCAAACGAAGGGGTCCTAAGGGGCTAGGCTAAGCCAGGAGGTCTCTCTGCCTTCTCCAGGAAAATCTAGTCTTTGATCAAGACCCTGGCCTTCCCCATCTCATTATTCCCTCGCTGCACCCAGGATCCTCAAGAATGGGAGCTCAGAGGGAGTTTCCAGGCGCTTCCCTCGGCCACACAGGCCTCGCACGGACTGCACCGTTAATGCCTGGCAAGGGCAGAGACGCCACCCCCTGCTGCCGCACCCCACCCGTGGCAGCAGTGCCACGACCTCCAGCCCCCGCCTGAAGGGCGGTACTTCCAGGTCAGAGAGCACTCCTGGGCTTCATGCTGCTGCATCGCCAGCCCTGCAGGCCTGACTCAGCAGCCAGCCAGGAGGACACACGCTGATTCAGTGGGCAAGGCTCAGCTCTCTGCCTGACCACCACCACCAGGTGCCTGCAGATGTCCCCAGTGCAGGGCCCTGTGGCATTATTAACCAGGAGGCGTTCCTCCACCCCCACGTGCTTTTGAACTGCTGTGCTCTTCAGGGGTATGAACCCAGCACCTGCAGCCGTTTTAACCCTGGAATTACACAGTCACAGGGGAAGTAAGTGCTCCTAGATTGTCACAGAGAGGCCCAGTTACTTTGCTTTCATATAAATGCAAAGGTCAGCTGAAAAGGGGTGAGGGAGAAGCCCTGAATCAAACCACCTTTCCACACTCCCTTAGTGATTTGGCCACTGCAGCTTGGATGTCACCTGCTCCTCAACAAGCACCTAGGGGCTGGGCACACAGCTGTAATGAAAGTGCTCTAGAGAAGAGAGGAGCAGGCTGAGTGAGGCTCCTTTCTCTGTGACTCTGGGCTTAGTGACTGTTCCCTCCACTCACCCTGAAACCTGAGATGCTTGATGTCCTCTCCTAATGAGTAGCCTCCTTCTTATTGCTTTTATCCATCCCTCTCCATCCCCACTGCTGCCACTCTGTTTAGGCTTTATTATCTTGTTCTTTTATTCTCTCAACAAATATTTGTTGAGCTGCCATGATTCCCACCATAAGAGCCAAGGTGCGCTGGTAAAGAGGATAAGATACCCGCTCTAGCTCGCACAGTGCTATGCAGAGAAATACAAGGTACTGGTGAGGTGTGGGAGGGCACTCTGAAGCAGTCAAGTGAGCTGAGACCTAAGTGACCGGAAGGAGCCAACTGAGCAAAACTGGTAGGGAGAACACTCCAGGCAAAGGTCCTCAGGCAGGAATGAGTCTGGAGTGATGGGGAAAGAGAGAAAAGGCCAACTCATCCACCACATGTAGAGGTGCCCTGAATCTGATCTTGCTACTTCCCTCGTGGAAACTCCCTGATGCACCCATCGTTCAGGGCGAGGGGCTGGGGCACAGGCATCTCGGGCCATCCTCAGAGTCTCACACCGAGACTAACAATCGCCCACCCTCGCTGGGCAGCCCTGGGCATTCTCAGTCGCTTTCAATCCTCTGATCCTCAGGAACTCCAAGAGAGACACTGTTATCCCCATTTACAGATGCTGCAGCTAAGGCCTTGCAGGTTCCCTGGTTTGCTTGCTGCTTCCAAGGATTAGCTCAGCTTTAGGAATCAGAAGGGAGCAGCTCTATGCTTTCTATGTGGGCACTCGCAGAGCTGAGGAGAGCCTTTGCGGTGGAAAAGCCTCCACAAGGCTGCCCAGGGGCAGCAAATCCATTATCTGTCCTTCCCCACAAACCTAGAGGACCAGGGCCCTGGGAAGCACACGCCTATTGGCACAAGTCCTGGTGACTTTGAGCATCCTTTTGACCAACAGCCTGCTGGGCTAGCCAGGGTCCCAGAGGGTTAACCAGGGTCCTGGAGGGTGGGGCTGTGTTTGAAGTGGGCAGCATGGGACCTTTGGAGCAGGCTCTCTCCTTGCTCCCTTAAGTGCTCTTCCCTTCTGAAAAAGGCAGGCTGCACAGGTGAGCCACCTCCTCCTCCTCTGTGTCTCTCCCTCCTCCTGCTTTCCCCAAACATAGATGCCTTGTCCTCTGCCCTTCTTCCCCTCCTTCTCTGAGCCTTTCACTTTTCTGTTGTGAAAGCTGAGAGGAGAGATCAGAAGGCAGCCCGGAGACCTAAACAGAGCCTGGGGCTGGAGTACAGATTTGGAGGCAGCCTACAGGACCCAGATGAAGCCAAAGCTGAAGTCCCCTGGCCAAGGAAGAGTGAAAACCCAAACATGCCAAACTCCTGCAGTTGACCAGGCACCTGGGAGTCAGAGATAAATCAGGAGCATACAGTCTCCATTCCCGATATTTATTGAGTACCACTGGGGTCAGGTGTGAAGCTGGGAAGTGGGAGGACAGACACCCCTGCGCTGGCCAACAACCTATGGAACTGAGACAGAAGGCTCAGCCCTGGCTCAGGTTCTGAGGGGGGTGGCTCTATGTCCCTCAAGGGTCAGGGGTTTCCTTGGAAGAGGGACATTCATATGGCAGGTGGGAAGGATCCAGCAGTTGAAGTCCAAGTGATGGAACTGTAGAGAGAAAACAGTGCCCAACACAGAACAAATCACACAGTCATCTGTCTCATTGGGAGCATGGAGGGGGCCCTATCTTTTCCCTGTAAATGTCTGTGTATGTCTCTGTCCAGGAGCAGCCCTTTTGAGGAAGATTGGGATGCTGGGATTAACCTTTGATCCCGAGGGGTCTGCAGTCCAGTGGATAGGGCTAATCCATCCCTCTCCATCAGTGTCTAAAGAGGAGAGGCAGAGAGGGAAGGGGGCAGGCGGATGGGAAGGAGGCCCCGGAACCCTGCCTTTGGCAGCGTGGCGGGGTTGGGAAGCGATTATTGGGTGAGTGTCCTCGGGTCCGGAGGGGGCGACCTGTCCGGGCCCTCCCGGCCAGAGAGGGGCCCGCGCAACCCCGGAGAGACAGGCAAGGAAGAGCGTAAGCACAGACTGTGTGGCCGGTACCCCCCAACTTCCCGCCGGTCCGACTGTGCTTCCTCCCCAGTACTCCCATCGGGTTCCGCGACGGCCCCTCCGCCCCATCCCAGCTTGGGCACCGCCCCCACACGCACCTCTGACCTGGGAGCCTCCCTCCGCCCCCTCCAGCCTGAGCACCGATCCCCCGCCCCTGCCCTCCTCCTCCAGCCTGGGCACCGCTCCCCACCCGCTCCAGCATGGACACCGTCCCCCTCGCCCCCTCCAACCTGGGCACCGCCCCCACACACATCCCTGACCTGGGAGCCTCCCTCCACCCCCTCCAGCCTGAGCACCGCTCCCCCCACTCCCCCTCCAGCACGGGCGCCACCGCCCTCCTCCTCCAGAATGGACACCGTCCCCCACGCCCCCTCCAGCCTGGGCACCGCCCCCACACACACCCCTGACCTGGGAGCCTCCCCCCTCCAGCCTGAGCACCGATACCCCCGCTCCCGCTCCAGCCCTGGCGCCCCTGCCCTCGTCCTCCAGCCTGGGCACCGCCCCCCACCCCCTCCAGCATGGACACCGTCCCCCTCGCCCCCTCCAGCCTGGGCACCGCCCACCCACACATCCCTGACCTGGAAGCCTCCCTCCGCCCTCTCCAGCCTGAGCACCGCTCCCCCCACTCCCCCTCCAGCACTGGCGCCACCGCCCTCCTCCTCCAGCCTGGGCACCGCCCCCCACGCCCTCTCTAGCCTGGGCACCGCCCCCACACACACCCCTGACCTAGGAGCCTCCCCCCACCTCCTTCAGCCAGGGCACCCCTCCCCCCACTCCCCCGCCAGCACGGGCGCCACCGCCCTCCTCCTACAGCCTGGGCACCGCTCCCCGCCCCCTCCAGCCTGGGCACCGCCCACATGCACACCCCTGACCTGGGAGCCTCCCCCCGCCCCTTCAGCCAGGGCACCGCCCCCCACGCCCTCTCCAGCCTGGGGACTGCCCCCACACACCCCTAATCTGGGAGCCTCCCCCCGCCCCCTCCAGCCTGGGCACCAACCCCGGCCCCTCCAGCATGGGCACCGTCCCCCCACCACAGCCCTGATGGAGGAGCTTCCCCTCGCCCCCTCCAGCCTGGGCACCGCCCCCACACACTCCCCTGATCTGGGGGCCTCCCTCCACCCCCTCCAGCCTGGGCACCGCCCCCACACATCCCTGGCCTGGGAGCCTCCCCACAACCTCCAGCCTGGGCGCCGCCCCCCACGCCCCCTCCAGCACGGGTGCCACCGCCCCCCACCCCCCCTGCCTGGGCAAAGCTGAGTCTGGCCACCGTCAGGCCTCCGCGAGGCTCCGGGCCGCTGGCCGGTGTGCCGGGGCCGGGAGGGGCGGCCTGGCATCGGGACCGGAACCCGAGGCGGGAGCTACTCTGGGCTCGGCAGCCTGGCTCTCCGCCCAGGTCGCACCCTCTCTGGTCTGAGGCTTCGCTTCTGAAAACGCGCTTTACCGGATTTGCGGGGTGTTTTTCATTTAAGGAGCTCGAGCTGCCGATGGTAAGCGGCCGGGACTGCTCCCGCAGGGCGAGGAAGCGGAGCAGCACTTTGTGGGGAAGGAGGAGGGTGGGGAGTGTGCAGCTCCCTCAGCCCCT